AAATGGCTAACTGAACACTCATGCGTTTACTGATATTTTCTTCGCTGCGAGAATCATTTTCTTTTTGTGGAAAAGTCGGTCAGCGACAACAATAAAGACAATATTCGTCCTTATATATTTGACGTCAACGTAAGGTTCGTCATTCGAAAGAAGAACTTATCGAGGAAGTCGAGGATAGTATTGGAGGATTTGTCTTTGAATAACGATTTGCGATGATAAATGGTAAGTACTTTTTCTCCTGGGCGCTTAGTAAAGTTTAATACTTCCGCCGTCAAGGGCTTTGCACACACCGCAACGGCTTACTAAATGTAACGATGAAAATTTTTTAAAGATTCTTTGGTACGCCTAAATAAAGCCTGAGAAAACCTGAGTTGATGGAGTGATTTCTTTTAATGAGTGTCTGATCTCCAAATTTTGTTCAATTTTGAGATCTGTTCATGTGAGACGGTCGTTATGCCTAGTTATCGAAATGTCGTCGGTCGCAAAGACCGAAATCCTGATGGCCAGGCTGAAAATTTTCGCATTTTAATGAGGAGCGACTCCTAAAGGAAGTACAGAAATTATCCTCAATATACTTACTTGAGCTCACTACAGTCTATATCTTAGCTCACCACTGACACAATCTCACAGTCGCACGTCTTCAAAACTCCGAAATGAACAATCTTCCACAGTAGCTCTCTTTCGGTATAGCTTCCCAAGTAGGTCACTCCTGACAAGAGCAACTACTACTACACGGCTGAATCCTTATTTACATTTACAAATATTCTAGAAAATTCCGGAAGCTTACAACACAACAATTTCGTTAGTATTGCATCCAACGTAAGCATGTCAGCATGATTAGGCATTCTAGAAATTTCGAGAAACTTATCTTTACAGCTATTATCCATAACATAAGAAACTCGGAGGTGATGTTATTCTCCAGGCGGTGATTACTAGGCGACAACCCTTATTTATACATCTCATCCGCTTTCTTCGTCAACCATGTCCTGTATGTTATAGTATGGACTCGATTCATCGCAATTTGACAGATCGCAGTATGTTACATCCCTCGTCATAATAGCCTCCAGTCGGTCAATCAACTCCGAGAAACTGGGGCGAGTTGTGGGATTGTTCTCCCAGCATGACGTCATCAGTTCATGTCTTTCAAGTATGAAAAGGGATAGCACATTTTTTTGAGAGTTTGTGGCGAAATCCAGTCAAAAAAGCAAAATTTGTTAGCAATTAGAATAAAATGGCAGGGTGAAAATTATTTCAAAATAAAATTCTACTCACACTTCATCGCAGCACATATCAGGTTTTTCCATGCGATAACCATTCTTTAGAAGTTTACAGAGCTCTGTATTGGTAAACGTAGGGTATGGAACACCACCTTAATTACAACAGAAGAAGAAATATGAATGCAACAACGAACAAATAACTCTAACAATGTGAAAAACGATAATGATAAGAACAATAGATATCTATCAAGAAAAGCTTTTTAACCTACCCATGGTAGCCATTTCCCAGAGAAAAATTCCATAAGACCAACTGCGAGAAATTTTAAACATTAACTATTAAATTGAGATTTGCGGCATCTCTGAGCAAGACTGAAAAAAAAAAGTTGTAAACAAACAAAAGAGAAAATTTGTTGAAACAGAAACACTACACTCAGTAGCAGCTCCAGTCTACTTACACGTCACTCTTGATAGTAAAAACACCCTCGAAGATGCTCTCTGGTGCCATCCATTTAACTGGTAGCTTTTTAGCTTTTTTTATGCTGTACACGTCTTCGTACACTTGGCGCATCAAACCAAAGTCTGAAACCTTCACTCCTCCGTCTTGACCAACAAGGATGTTCCGAGCTGCAAGGTCACGATGAACGAAATCATTTTCGGCAATGTGATTCTGGGAAAAAATAATGAAAAAAAAATTGCTTAAAGAGGTGTAACTGAAGACGACATAAAATAATGTCGAGAATGATCTTCAGGTATGGTTTCTGCGTAAGGTTTTTTCGAAGGTAAGCCCACAGTCACTTCTGATTTAATTCATTTACTTACCATTCCTCTTGCTACTTGCCAAGCAAATGAAAACAGCTGTTGAGCAGAGAAACCATCAACACCGACGTCATCATTATCATTTACGCCATCAAGGTTACTCTCATGAAGATTCACCGTAGACAGCGAAATGACAGCAGCGTGGTTATAGTAACCTGGACTGGATGGCATTGACATCAATTCGATATTTTCCTGATTTACAGCACTGTCACAACTTTTCTGAGTGATAAAGGAAGGAATTAAATTAATAGATTAATGTTCACTGTTAGATCATGATTCATGGTGGGATGGCTTGCATGGAAGGGAGATAACTATGAATGCTTGATATCCGTCGAACTTTATTTTGACAAATAAAATCCGAAGAAGGCATTCGCTGTTCACAAAGCACTTTTCCGTCCCACATAGTCCATGCAAAGCGACAGAAATTGCGCCAAGTCGCCGAGTTATCTACCTTAATCTTCTTTTTACAACCGCGCTTGTGGAGGTGGAGTAGTTTTCCTGAAGGGCCTCAAGGAGCCTAGCTTTCCTCTCAAGCAAAATAGCACCTCATTTTTCTCCTTGATTTTTTCGGGGGTGAGGGGAGGGGTCTCTGATTCCCTTTAGCTTGACTACATTTTATTTCTTAGAGGAATAATATTTTTAGGAAACATTTCACCTTACTTTCGAGTTTCAATTCAATGGACGGAATAATGAATACTAATATAAATACGGTCAATCGCGACTTGCTTGGCAAAGCCTTCCCCATAGCCTAAACTACCGAAATAGCACAAAAATACTTACTCGACTAGTTTCGCATCTTTTCAACTCATCAATCGGAGTGTCTCTATCTTCATAAAACTTTTCCGCCTCCTTTCCTCTGAGTGCTTGATTTTTATTTACCTGAAGCGCAATAGGCGTAATATTTACCACAGATATGTATATACAGAATAAGGGTAGAAGATAAAGTTGTTATTTTTTTATCCAGAATCTAGCGAAACGTAATACAAGACTAATGATTAAGCCTCTTCCTTTCTCACAGACATCGAAATACAAAAAGTTAGCCTTGCTCAGGAAAATCTCTCTCCTCTTACCGATCGCCTCTTTTGCCGTAACCATTGTAAGAGATCACCATACGGAACATACTCTATCACCAGAAACTTGGTGTCCTGCAGTGTGCAGCATCCGACCAAAGACACGATATTTTGATGTGAACCCAACAGCTTCATTTGTAATATTTCATGAAGGAAAGCTTCTCTTTGCTCATCGCTTGGATCACCTGTGGATAGATGGTATTGATGCTTTTAGCGATTGTGAGTCCAGTCTTAGACCCTTGGGCGTTCGCAACAGCCCCTGGATTGAATAGGATGCTTGAAACCCCACGAGAGTAGCAGCCATCTCGATTATTACAGCGCATGCGCAAGTCGTGAACTAGCCCCTTCTGGCTTGATATATTAAAAGGAAAGCTTATAAGATGTTACCAGTCGACTTATGATTCCATGCAACGGCAGATCCTTTTCTTAGCGATTAAAAATTTCATTTTGACGGTATTTAGGCGCTATATCAACTCACCCTGCAATACTTTTACCGCGACAACTTGACATTGTTTTTCTGGCTTTAGTCTTTCTCTTGTTTCAAACACTTCTATTCCAGCTCTTCTCGTAAGAGTTGCTTTGTAAACCACACCAAATGCACCTCGGCCCAGTTCCTCCTCATAATGCACCTGCTTGGGAAGAATTTCCCACTTGTCAAGAGGAATAATCTCGCGGAAAGGACGCTGAACATGTCTGTTGACAACACAAATTTGGATTCAGTGAGAGAATGTTAAATGACTTAATAACTGATAGCTTTTTTCATCATTAAGACAAGAATTACAGTTAACCTTCTTCCCCTCTGATTTGGCACCATATTCAAAACCAACCGCGCTCAAGAGCAATATTTAAGGAATGTCTTTAGAAGATATCCTGATCAGAGCAACAACAACACATCTTCCGAGCATAATTCTGTAGTTCTCTCCTAGGCTGCAGTGTGACTGCTTTCTCGCTAACTGATATGAATAATTTCCGGGATGATGTCATGAGCCAACCCGCCCCATTCCCCCTACTTCTCGGTCGTGAACTTGAAAGACACCAATTTCGGGATCTTTGGAAGCTCAAAAATAATAATAATAACAACAATAATAATAATAATAATAATAAAAATAATAATAATAAAATAACCAAAATAGTTGCTAAATTAATTTTTTTCGATTTTTTTTATTCGTGGGACAATAAGATTTACTTTGTAGATAGAAAAGTTTTTGGGTAAGTGGCACTTTCAGAACTAACAGATTGAGAAACCTAAAGCTAAAGAACTCAGCTTGTGGATCGGAAGCAAGCGTCATCTGTTTGAAGATACTAACGTTAAGATCACCCGACCAAACGATGGTTCTGTTGTTGTTTTTGACATGCATATACACCATGCAGAGGAAGCTTACAGAAATTTACATAAGCCGTGATTGAATTGTGCTTGTTTACCATAATAACTATATTGGGCTTGTGAACATTACCTTTTTAACCTAGCGTGTCTTTTGCTTTTGTAGCACCGAAGTCCCATAATGCAGCACAGCACGAGTATCACTACAAAGGTAGCACCAGCCAAGCTGTAAATAAGGGCTACAGAACTCATGGCCTCGTTTTTCTGCGTTTTGATTGCAAGGGTAGGTGTTTTGGCCATGATATCCGATGCTGTGACTGTTGCTGCTGAAAAAAGTCAAATCTAAATAATCCAAGAAGCATTTAAAACACGTAATCATAGTAAGTAGATATTTGGAAAAAATTCCCCAGCTGAGGCCAGGTTTTTCCTCTATCATTTACAGGAAATACAAAAAACGAATCTTATTTGTGGTTAAGTCACTTTAGTTACCAAGAGTAATCCCATTCATTTGAAACTTCGTAAAGCGGAATTAGTGTTATACCTGTGTTCATTTTCAACCATTTCCATTTCAAAAGCTTAAGCGACTCTCTTTTCTCCAACCTAATGAACGTCAGAAATATTCAATTTATTCCCTACGTATTGGATGAGGCGCATTTTTTTTCCGTGCAAAATGTCATCTCTAAGGCAGGATGTCACAAAGACACATTTGAGAGAAAATATGCTTTGAAGACTCGACAAAGTGGGCTTACTTACGCCTAATATTTTTTCGCAAATGTAAGGGGCACTCTTGTCACAGTCCATATCATTCCATCGGCCGGGAAGGTATAGTTGACTGTACATGTACAAGAAAATCCCAGAGACTGCAACACAGTCTTCCCCATCACCAGAATTATCAGGTTCACCCTTATTCCAGTGAGAGAAGTTGGCAGGTGTATTATCATGCTCCCATTTGAAGTCATTTTCATCATCAAGATCATGAAGTCCAATCCAAAGTGCCTTTAGACAAGAAAAGAATTAAATATTGCAACAACACAATCACAATGTTTAGGTCTTAACATTTCTAAATATTGATAATGAAATAACATAAGTAACATAATATTCCCTCGGAGCTACTATGGTAAAAATTATTTTATATCACATCTAGCGCGCAAGTCCTACCTAATTCCTTTAGAAGCTAGCATGGCAGAAATCCTTTGGTACGCATGGCCGTGCATCCATAACACTCAAGAAGCTAGAGTTGCTCTCGACTTCGCCTCGGATAACTTTTATGCTTCTCTCGTGCTCTCCAAATTTCCCACGCGCATCCATAACTCGATATACACACGCTAAGCATGAACCAATTCTTTCTTAACAATTTTGCCTAATTTACAAATTGTAGATTGCAGTATTGATATTATTTTGACTAATAGTAGAAAGAGGAGCTCGGCATTCAAAAACTTAATCAAGCTTATTCATTTTATATTTGAACTTTATCTTTTTTTGATAAAATAGATAATAATTCACCGATGAGAAATTCTGAAAGGAAAGTTTGATGTATTTTCCATTTTATCTATTTATTTTATCGTGAATAGACCAAAAATAACATCTTCGGTATTTGAGATCAAGTCGGAATTATTGCTTGAATCAGACCATTGCCACCGACTTTCGGAGTAAATGATATCGTGAAATGGTACTCTGGCAGCTGTAAACAGACCTGTATTTTTCTACTGATGTTGATTCTATCCGTTATGAAACTTTGTTCATCGGCATCATCTATTTTCACCAAAAATCCTCCAAGACTTTTACATCGCCTCACTGCTTTATACCAAGTGACCATTTCAGAGCTAAATTTGTAGCAAGATGATCCATACTGATAATACCATCCGGATGGACAGGATGGATGGATGGATGGTTGAACTAAGGAAAATGAAACACATAGTCAGCCATGGCGATATTTCTTTTATCATATAAACTATTTGGTGCCGCTCGGTTAGGTTGATGAATGAACGGCAAAGCTTTCACCATTCTCGATCCAAGGTATTTTGTCGAAATTTTCTCGGATTATGACAGCTAATTTACTGAAAAATCCATATCATTTACAGACACCGTATCGCTTTCCTAAGAGGGAAAGAAAACCAGTATACCAAAAGAAAAACCGAAAGTTACGTATCTAGTGGCTTTGGTAATGGCATTTCTCGAGGCTGAGAACAAAAAGATCGACAACTGGAAGACTTGCCACAGCCTGATTTGGCCGTTTACCTGAAAGATTTCTTCTGTCGGTAAGGAAGAAATCGACGAGTAAGAATTTTGTGAATTGAAAATTACGCCCATAATTGTTTTTGTAATCATGATTCAACGCATTTTTGCATCTTCATCCTTGGCGACAGCCCACTGTGTGATTTTTTTGGGGAATTGTCGTTTCCTTTATTTTCATTCATTATTAAAGTCGGCTTTTCTTGTCAGTAAAGGGCTATTGTGTTTATATGATAAACGAAATAATACCTGATTGCTTCTAGATATGGAATTTCTCTTCTCGTGTTCAACTAGAGCTATCGAGTTGAACACTCGAAGAGTAATTTGAAATCTACGCGCGCTCATGTATTATTCTCCATATAACAAATATTCACTCTATCGCGCTAATGACGCGAGTCGAGCTTCCTCAGTTTCACGCGCAAGATGTCAATCTCAATTAGTAAAACCAAATTACCTTGTGATACCGCTCAACGACGCGGTCCCACAATTTCTTTAGAAACTTTCTACCTTTATTCATCTCTAAATTGCTATCATTTTTTCTTACCAGGTAGATCAGCAGCCTCGAAATACAAAGAGAATCCTCGCTCCCGGCTGGTAAAATTATCACGAGACTCAAATTTTATCACCACGCTATTTCCAGTTACAAAAATGGTTTCTCCAGTCGCTTTGCCACAATAACTTCCAAAATATTGGTGCTGTTCGTTCAGAATCATCAGATGGTCGTCTCTTTTAGTACAAAATATAATAATAATTCTGATACTGAAGGAAAAAATAATCTGAAACTAAAAACATCATCTACTGGACTTTTCGAAAGCAAATTCATATACAACCTTTTCTTCAGGAAATAAAGGAAAAATTGACTGTAATAAAAGCCCCTCTTCCCACTAAAAAGCATTGAAGTGAGAGATCATGCTGCACTGTTACTAAGGCAAAGTCATGGATAAGATTGCTCGGTAAAAGGCTAAACAGGTATTCAATTCTGTACACAACTACTACGATCAATCTTTCCTCTATTGGAAAAAACATTCTTTTTAGAGGTAATGAAAGAGGGAGCGCCAGGGTGGGGTGGTTGGCGGGGGTTTATAGGACCTAATTCTGTTATTCCGCCTGCTGTAAGCATATGTGTTTATAATCAATCCTTACTCACAAGCACTGTAACTCATTACCAACAGGATATGGGTCAGGCATCTGAAAGTATTGAAACTTTATTTTCATTCTCGTGCCAGCTGGAATAGGAACTGAATAATTGCACTCCATTTTGTGTGGATAGCCTTCAGGATAGTGTGGACTTTTCAAAGTATTATTCACCACTGAACCACAGTCGGCTGAATAAAACAACAACAGCAGCAACAAAAGAAACGAAGTTATCTTAACATTATGCTGCGCAACAATGTAAATATATTGGAACAAAAGAAAAAAATTAACGTAGAAAAGAGTTTAAATCCAACAGGACTGATTTGGGCATTCACGTTGCCGTCTGTTGTTGTGATAACCAATTTGGCCGTGACGTTATGTAAAAACGTTCAATTAACTGGCCAGTGATCCACTTACCGTTTTTCTCGCAAATGGAGAATGTCTTGTCACTACACGATACGTCATTCCATTTCCCAGCTGGAAAGGGTGCGCCATTCAAGTCAAACCAAATCCCATAGGCCCGTGCACAGTCGGACTGTACAATTACAATTATAAATCATCTTATTTATCGAAGTTTAAGTTACAGAAAGTAGCTAGCCCTGCTCACCGAAAATAACTTAAGGGTTAAACCGGTTCGGTGACCATCATTCATAGGGGTATTGAGCTAAATCATTTATGCGTTTATCTTTATTAAGACTTCTACTCACAGTACACACGATTTAAAGATAACTCAAACACATTACAAATTATGAAATGATAAGCTAAGTATAACAAATATATTATCAAATAGATAAACAAATGATTGAATGAATAACAATATGAGGTAGCGATTTGTACCAATAAATGAAAAAATATTAGAAACAAGAGAAAGTAATGGCACTTTTCTCTTGATAGAAATTAGTAAAATACAATAGTTAATTATTTTTTGAATGAAGACTCTGTGAGAATTTTGAATATTTAGTCTATCTCATTCAGCAATTTCGGCCCATTATATCGAACATAAATTTGCCATAATTTGGTAATAGGCAGATCTCTTTTAAAAACATTGTGCTTCCATGGGATTTTATCTAAAAGTGTGTCAAAGATGATGGAACATTTTCCAAATTTGAACTTGTTCATGAACCAAAGGCTTGAAGTTGGACATGATGAAAATCAAAGACAAGTATGTACGCACATAAAAATATGAAGGGGTCTAAAGATATGATAGCAAGTCTTGCCCCAAACTAAACAACTATATGACAAAAATGAAAGAATGTTCGCCTCATACCGCTTTATTATTAGGCTCGTCCCTATTCCAGTTGGAGTAACGAGGAGGAGTATCGTCATACACCCATTTAAAGTTATTATCCTTATCAGGATCGTGTAGTCCAATCCAAACAGCCTAAAGTGAGAGATTGTCACTGAAAAATTAGATGAATACATCAATAATGATCACTTTAAGGAAGTGTAGAGCTTCACCTCTTTCGGTCTTAGAATTATGTTTATATTAACTTTAGATGATAAAAACAATAAATTAGCACTGCTGAACTCATATTTTGGTTGAGTACCACCACCTACTGCAAAATGCCTCTTACAAAATGTTATAAAACTCAGATATAGAGTTATAACGGAGACATAATCTTAAGTCGTAGAATGTCTTACTTTTAGTGTTTGTATTTTCTTCCCCTTCTATGAATTTTTCAACATCACTTTCCGAGACTTCGGAAAATCTTCCTGAATGTTCTTCAAGCTCGGAAAAAGGATCGATGTGAACATTTGGCAGCTCACCGACAAAGTCACCGGTTACAGTACCGTCTTCGCACCTCGAAGCCATTTTGTGAATGGAATTTCAAAAGAACCGGCCGCGCGCCTGGGCGGGAAGCTCCCTTGTAATTGGCTAATCATGTTAGTAATCATGTCGACACCAATATCCTCACTCGTGAAAGATAAAAATAGTATCTTCACTGGGCGCGATGAAGATACGATTTTTTAGTAAAAGGAAAAATCCTGGTATTTCATCGGTATCTATACAGTAAAAAGCGTTTGTCGATACCGATTTGAAAGATATTATTTCCAGATTTTTTTGCAGCTTTCCATACTACCTAGATGTGGGAAAAGGTCGCAGACTGTCGCATGTTGCTTTTAATGATTTATGAGATTATTGTACCTAGAGACTGGTATGGACACGTTTTCGTCATTCCTCTTTACATCACGAACCTGTGCGAGGCTCATTTCTTTTATTTTATCCGTAATATAAGACTGCTCTTTGTCATCATCGATCTTCACCAAATATCCTCCGAGACTTTGACAGTGTCTGCTAGCTTGATGCCAAGTCAGATACTCAAAACTGAATTTATAGCAGGATGAACCATATTGGTAATACCAACCAATCGGGCAGATACTTGGTTGAACTAACAAAAGTAAAACAAGTCAAGTTTACGATTGTTCAGTCTTTAGCGGAAACTGTACCAATCATCGTTTATACTGAGAAAAAAGCAACACGTATTAAATAATACTGTGTAAAAATAATGTAAACGGTCATCGTTGATCATCACTGACCATCGCACAATTGACGAGATTTATATGATGTTTATCGCAAGGCCATTATTCTAATAGTTGAGATTAATCGTTGAGATCTTCGCTCGTGAATACTCAATTTCCGGGCGCTTTATTTAAAGAGAATTCTTTGCTTTCCTTTTAAACTGAACTATATTCTGGGGGACTGGAAATTGAGATACATTACCGGGTTGATCAACAGCTTCAAAGCGTAACATGAATCCTATCCTTTTCATGTTAGAACTATTTCCAGAATGAAAGTTTATCAACGTGTAGTTTCCAGTTATCATAAAAGTTCCGCCTGTCGTTGAACCACAGTATTTCCCAAAATTTTGTTTCCTGTCGCCACGGAACGTCAAATAGTCATCCCTTTGGAAAACAAATAAAAAATAAATCTAAAATAACATACATCACTGCATTGCAAATAATAGTTCGCGGATGGGTGGATATACTTCTACAAGTCATATTCGAAAGTTTGCTTCACTTGCGCGTTTTTGAGTCCACGATCAATAACTTTGGACTCGAACAATCAGTGACGGAAGAATCGAAAGCCAATTTTGCCAACTGAACTCATGTAGATTTTTTTTCAATCCGGAAGAATAGATCGGAAGAATTTTAGAGGAGCAAGACGATTTGATTACAGGAAAGCAAGTGGGAATAGACCGGAATTTTGTTTGGACGGCTTTAGATAATTTGCCAAGATAAAAATTAAAACAGCACGTTTAATGAAGTGAGGTACCTTTTTGCTGCCTGCCCTCGTCAGTTTGTAACAAAATAAATTTTCGCTATTTTCTCACGCAGCTGATTGAAGGATCAGGAAAGTGAATATGTAAATGAACATAACTCATCTTTACCGTTTTTCGCTGTTAACATCAAGCTTAAACCCAACATTCATTCTTTCTTCTAACTTAAAATACCCATGAAGGATAACAGCCATTCCTCACTTACACGCACTGATAATGATTCCTTAGATCAGGCAACCTCATGTACTCAAACGTGATTTTCAATCTAAATCCAGATGGAATAGGAACTTTAAATTCACACTCCATATTGTCTGGATAGCCTTCAGGATAATTTGGACTTTTCAAAGTGTTATTCACCACTGAACCACAGTCTGGCAACAAAATAACACACAAATACTGACTTAAATGGTAAAATAATATTCGTGAATCAGAGCTCACTGATCAAACAATGAATAATGTGGTTTTGTCTAATGAACAGACTAAAATAACAGAACTTATTAAGATCCCATTCGCATCCAGGATTGTTGAGATAGAGAAGCACGACGACCCTGTATTGCAACTACGCGACTTTTGACTTCGATGGCGACTTTCTGAGCAAAGTTTAAGCGATTGTCATTCTTATCGCTACGGCCACTGTCACTCTTGCTGTTGTAGCTCTTTGTCATTGTCATTGTGCAATATTTTGCCTTTTACAAAATGCCACCCTCAGTGTCTAAATAAAATTGAAGGTCTCATTAGGGTTAACCGTCAGCCGTAAAACAGCAAAAAAAAGTTATAGACGTTAGAGAAAAAGTTGAGGAATATTAACCGTTAGTCTTAAAAAAAAGTGAACGGTTACAAGTTTCCTTTAATCGCAAAGAAAACAAATTAACCGCTGACCGTAATTTGAGACACTCAAAATTCAATGACTGTGTAATTGTGTGGTTACCCTGTGCGGCAGCATCGCCGCCAACTGTCACATTCCACATCTGCAGAACGAGCAATGGGAAAAGACTTCTTATCATATTTTTTTTATCTTGGGTTACAGCAGTATCCCTAAATATCAGAAACAAAATAAAAAAAAATTGGCAATGAGATATTTTGTAAAAATATCCGTTGATTTTAAATGCAAATTTGCTGATGGCTTGTTTGCTGAACACATCCTGTCGACCGACCTAAATGGAACTTAAATTGTTCAGGAGATAAAACAACTCATGAGTTCACAAACACCTTGAAGATCAACACTGTGAAATTTAGAGAAGTAAAGCTGACGGGTCTTATCACATCGATTAGATATTAGGGCATCTGTAATTGGTTAGTGGGCACTCAGAAAATTTTAGCAAGCTGACTTTCGTGTAAGGCTTTATTGCAGCTACTAATCCAAACACGAATATACCCTCGCTAGCAACATACAGGTTCAAAGAATTAACGAACAGCTGAAATTTAAATTCAGAGTTTCACCACCCTTGAGCAAGCAAAATTTTGGGAAACCGGCAAAGGGATGTTCGATCAATGCACACATTGCACTAGTTTCTTAAAACCGTCCTCAAAACCACTATGGAAGAAAACCGAATTTGCAGAAAATCTGGTTAAGTTACCTTCTATAACATCTGACAAGCAATGGACCTGAAAACACGTCTTCGTGGCATTGTACGTTGCAAACTCTTAAAGAAAAAAAAACTGTACAAGGAATATACCGAAAATGATAATAAACACAATTTTTACCCGAGGCAAATATACATTTAACACTTAAACTCCCATGAGTGACCAAGACAGAATTTCCGCTTACAGTATCAACACGATATTAAACAGAAAAGTGATGAGAATGAAGAAAATATCAATTGAGGGAATGTTAGTTGATTCAATACCAAAATCTCTGAAGTAACTTCATAAGAGTGGTATAGCAGAGAGTGAGGAGAATTACTAATGAGATCTTGGGAGTGAAAGGGTTACGGTGTTTATTGGGAATTCGAACTTCAAAATCATTTTGATGCCAGATCTTATTATATCACCTATCTTTATATTGAGGTCTAAGGTCAGGTGATGCGATATTCTCGTTTGCGGCTTCGGGGAAATATTTTTCAGTGTTATATTGAGTAAAAAATACATAATCAATGTTAACTGCTGTGCAACTTCTGAGTATTTGGTGTTAAATCAAACAATATCTCCTATTTGACATTTTGGGAAGGTGAAAGGGCAATAGTCTAAGTTACAACGAAGGTGACATTTCAAGGTTTATCTTGCTATTAGCCAAGATAGACGAAGGGTGTTCATATTGGCGCGTTTTGAGGGCATACATTCCAAAAGTGCTATCTTTAAGTTTTTTGCGTCACTGGAGTCAGATATATTTTCCCTTCAATATTTCATCGTACACGTTTACGATATTTACGTAAATCTTATCTAGTTTTAGGCATAATTTAATGACATCATTCGTGTTGTGTGATCTTGCCGGCGGAAGATGCAAATAATCAGAGTAAAGAGGGCAATTCGACGCTGTTGAGGACTTCTGGTTAGTCGCCGGAATATCACCAAGTCACTGACTCTTGTGTCAGTGCTTTTCAGGACTACTTTCACCTGGACGATCGCTGAGCGTTTATCTGTGTTTCTTCAGATTCTAATCACTCGTATTAACAATGATGAATGCGTTCAATTCTTTCCAAGTCAGAGTGACTCTTTTTAACAATTAGATTATGAGCTCGGGATTTCTATTGCGTGACGGTTGACAAGGGCGAAGCTGGAAATCAAATATCACCACAGAAAACGAGAGATATTTAATCGTTTTGGCATAAATTTTCTGCATGGTCATTCAAATCTTAAAACAAGACAGGCTCTGGATTTTGATCTATTTTATTTACAAATCCACTATGTTACGTTGCTAACTCAGCTCGCCACATATCAATGAATATCACGGGATGAATACTGCGTAGCGTAGCCACTAAGGTTGTAGCAATTCTGATAAAACACTGGTAGAGCTATACATGGACTTTTGGCTTAAACAAAATGTTCATTTGATCAGCGTTTCGTTTATTCGCAATGAATATTTAAGGTAGAGAACATGGGTCTTTCCGATATCAAAAATACATTTTAATACCGACTTTTTAAGGATGAGTTGCTAATATATTTCTTATACGGAATATTTTCTTTACATCGATAAATAAAATATTAATAAGTAGTTGTATGAATTGAACTTACTATCGGTGGTCAAAATTATCTCCGAAACTGTAATCAAATTCACAGGTTTCTCAATCTCGCGTCTTGATCAGATTTCTCTCGGTCGTGAAGTCTTGAACGAAAAATTTTTCCTATAACTGGGGAACCAGTTTATGACAAGGGAGATTTGAAAGGACGATAATTGTCAGGGTAAATTCACGTCACATTTTTTATTCACATGTTACTTTCCTTATGAATGTACAAAGCGAATCATTTGCTGATCAGTTCAGGCAGGCGAAAAGTAAACGCTTCGGATCAATTTCAAGATTTTTTTCCTTTTTTTAATGGATAGATTTTTGAAGGTAACGACAGTTAGCAGTCAAAATGATAAAATACACCTTTACTGAAACTTAAATTAGTTCAAGTTTCTTTACTTTTATTTTGAATCTCGATGGCATCGTATTTTCCGCTTACTTCTGAAGTCACATCCCCAATATTGATCAGAGAGATTTTTATCTCACCGAGTTCATTCAATTTTCTATTTTAACATGCCCCTAGTCATCATATATTATACTTTCAGTTCCTCAGACATATTTTTTACGAAGCCGAGAAAAAAAGTATCTTGCATTCTTGTGCAGCAAACTGACGCAACTGCATTTCTTATTGCGGAGAGCTGCTAGTTTATCATGGTCGATAAATACGGTAAACAATACTTAAATATAACAAGAAAGAAAATAATTTTCTGTCTTGTCTTGCACGATGAGTGAAATACCAAAATATCGTTCTTAGCTCCAATAGCTATAACAATTGGCCGGGGATTTGGTGAGCATTATAGTGTTTTGATTCCATTCATCAAAATGTTTTTTTGAACTGTCCAGATGAGCAACCGAGTTCGATGGGCCAAACTAAGTGTCAAATGCTTCTTAATCCCAGTCTTGTATTACCGAATAAAATCCTTCCAATTTTAAAATTGAACGTTAAAAAACGAAAAATTAATTTAAATGCCACTGAATTGCGAGTATCAGCTTTTCCACTATCCTTTGATGTAATCAACACCAACTTAATACCTACAACTACTTTTCAATTGATGATATCTTTCCGAGCTTATAACCTTTTATTTCCATTTTTTCTTTTTATAATTTATTTCAAAGGTAAAAACAGCAACACTTCATAAAATGCTAGCACTACTGGTTTCTAACTCTCAAACTAAATGAAACGCTCGTGGTACTTCATGTCTCCATTATTCAAACTTCAAAAACTCATTAATAATTCATAAGCCCATTAACCTATCAAATGGTAGATAATTCATCACGTGCAGTGACTTTATATCGATAAACCTCATCCTTATTAGTATGCGGTGTTTTATCAGATATAAAGACACTGCACGTGACTTATGAATATTAATTAATTATCAACACAGAAACTGACACAACAAATGGTGGGAACATATTTAATGTTCTTTCAACAAATTTCACACAGTAAATTTACTTTTGCACCAAATTAATAGTACAGTTGTGAAATACACATCTGGAAAAATTCTCTATTCCATTAGTACAGTAATCTGGTAAAGGCATATTAGACAATACATGAATGTTTTTCTCGTATGCTAATTTCTAACGTTCACAAAAGCATAATTGTTATGAACTCTCTTGACACACGCTTTTCCAAGAATGTTTTTGAAGCCGTTCAAAAAACTCGCAGCACGTGTTTTATCGGGTCAAAAACCACTCGGCTACGCCTCGTGGTTTTAAACCCGATAAAACACTCCTGCTCGTTTTTTAAACATTACATAATACCAAAAGTTCAACTTTGGAATGTAACAACTAATAAATTGAGACTTTCCCTATCCCTTAGCTTTGCCTTGCAGCTTTGAATGTCTTAAACATCAATATAGATAAAACCGTTTATAGAATTATATGTTTTAAGCAAGTTAAGCATGTTTTAACAATGATAAGTGTTACGGTATAATCAAACCAACAGAAACAAACTACAAACTCAACTACTTTATCAAACAATGAGGAACATTCTTAATATGGAGCGACTCCTGAAGGAAGTACAGAAATTATCCTCAATATACTTACTTGAGCTCACTACAGTCTATATCTTAGCTTACCACTGACACAATCTCACAGCCGTACGTCTCCAAAACTCCGAAATGAACAATCTTCCGCAGTAGCTCTCCTTCAGTATAGCTTCCCAAGTAGGTCACTCCTGACAACAGCAACTAACTACCACCACACAGCTGAATCCTTATTTACATTTACAAAGTATTCTAGAACATTTCGGAAGCTTACAATACAACAACTGCGTTAGTATTACATCCAAGGTAAGCATGTCAGCATGACTAGGCATTCTAGAAATTTCGAGAAACTTATCTTTACAACTATTATCCATAACATAAGAAACTCGGAGGTGGTGTTGTCTACCAGGCGGTGATGACTGGGCGACAACCCTTGTTTATACATCTCATCCGCTTTCTTCGTCAACCATGTCCTGTATGTTATAGTATGGACTCGATTCATCGCAGTTTGACATATCGCAGTATGTTACATCCCTCGTCATAATAGCCTCCAGTCGGTCAATCAACTCCGAGAAACTGGGGCGAGTTGTAGGATCGTTCTCCCAGCATGACGTCATCATTTCATATCTTTCAAGTATGAAGAGGGATAGTACATTTTTATTAGAGTTTGTGGTGAAATCCAGTCAAAAAAACAAAATTTGTTGGCAATTAGAATAAAACGGTAGGGTGACAATTATTTCAAAACAAAATTCTACTCACACTTCATGGCAGCACATATCAGGTTTTTCCATGCGATATCCATTCTTTAGAAGTTTACAGAGCTCTGTATTGGTAAACGTAGGGTATGGAACACCACCTTAATTACAACAGAAGAAGAAGTATGAATGCAACGACGAACAAATAACTCTAACAATATGAAAAACGTTAATGATAAAAACAATAGATATCTATCAAGAAAAGCTTTTTAACCTACCCATGGTAGCCATTTCCCAGAGAAAAATTCCATAAGACCAACTGCGAGAAATTTTAAACATTAACTATTAAATTGAGATTTGCGGCATCTCTGAGCAAGACTGAAAAAAACAAGTTGTAAACAAACAAAAGAGAAAATTTGCTGAAACAGAAATACTACACTCAGTAGCAGCTCCAGTCTACTTACACGTCACTCTTGATAGTGAAAACACCCTCGAAGATGCTCTCTGGTGCCATCCATTTAACTGGCAGCTTTTTAGCTTTTTTTATGCTGTACACGTCTTCGTACACTTGGCGCATCAAACCAAAGTCTGACACCTTCACTCGTCCGTCTTGACCAACAAGGATGTTCCGAGCTGCAAGGTCACGATGAACGAAATCATTTTCGGCAAGGTGATTCTGGGAAAAAATAATGAAAAAAAAAAAAAAAGCTTAAAGAGGTGTAACTGAAGACGACATAAAATAATGTCGAGAATGATCTTCAGGTATGGTTTCTGCGTAAGGTTTTTTCGAAGGTAAGCCCACAGTCACTTCTGAGTTAATTCATTTACTTACCATTCCTCTTGCTACTTGCCAAGCAAATGAAAACAGCTGTTGAGCAGAGAAACCATCAACACCGACGTCATCATTATCATTTACGCCATCAAGGTTACTCTCATGAAGATTCACCGTAGACAGCGAAATGACAGCAGCGTGGTTATAGTAACCTGGACTGGATGGCATTGACATCAATTCTATATTTTCCTGATTAACAGCACTGTCACAACTTTTCTGGGTGATAAAGGAAGGAATTAAAGTAATAGATTAATGTTCACTTTTAGATCAAGATTCACGGTGGGATGGCTTGCATGGAAGGGAGGTAATTATGAATGCTTGATATCCGTCGAACTTTATTTTTACAAATAAAATCCGAAAAAGGCATTCGCTGTTCACAAAGCACTTTTCCGTCCCGCATAGTCCATGCAAAGCGACAGAAATTGCGTCAAGTCGCCGAGTTATCTGCCTTAATCTTCTTTTTACAACCGCGCTTGTGGAGGTGGAGTAGTTTTCCTGAAGGGCCTCAAGGAGCCTAGCTTTCCTCTCAAGCAAAATAGCACCTCATTTTTCTCCTTGATTTTTTCGGGGATGAGGGGTGGGGTCTCTGATTCCCTTTAGCTTGACTGCATTTTATTTCTTAGAAGAATAATATTTTTAGGAAACATTTCACCTTACTTTCGAGTTTCAATTCAATGGACGGAATAATGAATACTAATATAAATACGGTCAATCGCGACTTGCTTGGCAAAGCCTTCCCCATAGCCTAAACTACCGAAATAGCACAAAAATACTTACTCGACTAGGTCTTTTCCGCCTCCTTTCCTCTGAGGGCTTGATTTTTATTTACCTGAAGCGTAAGAGGCGTAATATTTACCACAGATATGTATATACAGAATAAGGGTAGAAGATAAAGTTGTTATTTTTTTATCCAGAATCTAGCGTAACGTAATACAAGACTAATGATTAAGCCTCTTCCTTTCTCACAGACATCGAAATACAAAAAGTTAGCCTTGCTCAGGAAAATCTCTCTCCTCTTACCGATCGCCTCTTTTGCCGTAACCATTGTAAGAGATCACCATACGGAACATACTCTATCACCAGAAACTTGGTGTCCTGCAGTGTGCAGCATCCGACCAAAGACACGATATTCTGATGTGAACCCAACAGCTT